TATTTGAATGATAGTGGTATTCACTGGACTTCCTTGTATGCGTATAGATATTATCCTGTCACTGACAATATTGTACTTCAAGACAGATCTAGCTACATTATTATTATATATTACATTTTTTATAATTTTTATATACACACACACATACATACATACATACATACATAGCTATATATTTGCCGGTGAGTGAATTTATTTACCATTTAACTCATTCATTGATGTTGAGGTGTGACCAAACGATAGCTAACACTCTAGTGGGTTTTGAGAGGCTGTAAATCAAACAAGAGGTGATTGCCCATCTTTCTTCTGAGAAGTAGCAGGTGGACCCAAACTGCTTACCTTGTGGTTGTTTTGGTAAGAACTTGAACTGCAATCTCAAAAACATGTAATTTGAACCTTCAAATTATTCTGTGGGAAAAGGATGGTCAGTCTCCTCTTGTGTGATTTACAGCCTCTCAAAACCCACTGAAGGGTCAGCTTCAAGTATATTCTGACTTGATGGCACACAACAACATGCCACAAAATCTTCTTGCACAAAAGACTACAAAATCCCTAATGATGTATAGGCCTCCTATCTAAGTTGGGGTCCTGGTGACTGACCCAGGATGGCATCACTTTTGGGTTAGCAGTGCAACAATCTATAGACTATACCACCAACTCCCTATTTACCATTTAGAACATCATCATCTATTATATTCCTCCTGGTGGTACCAAACCTGCCTAGTCAATAACTAGCCTTTCACATGTTGTTTTTAGATATCTTTAATCTCTGACTATAGTACATACTCTTTCTGCAGATCATTTTCTTGTTTTATATCATTAGCATATCTCTACAAGATTGTGCAAGATTTCATGGGCACAGGGCAAAGTAAAGGCAACTTACTGACTTCCCCTTCTGTCTAAACCCAGGGCTAACAGACTTAAAAAGGGTCAGGTAATAAATGTTTTTGGTTTTGCAGACCATGGACAGTTTTGGTTTTTGTTTCATATTTTCTGTGTGGATCTGTATTTCAAAGAAAAACCAAAACCACTGCCATCAAGTTTATTAAGATCGTGTTATCATGATGTTAGGTGCCTTCAGGTTGAGTACCATGAACAGTGACCCTACATAGAACAAATCTGAACTCTGCTCTGTCCTGTGCCAACATTATCATCTCTGAAACACTTGGCTCCATTGCTGCAGTCACTATGTCATTCCATCTCATTGAGGG